GTGTGCGTGTGTGTATGTGCTTCCCAAGCTTCAGTTTTGATCTCTGTTTCAATATACACTCTGCCTCAGCTTCGTTGACTCTCTCCTCCTCTGTTTCATTCTCTTGATCCACTATGTTATTATTATTGCCTAAGTGAATCCTGTGAAAGTACATTCTATGTAAGATCTTATAGTTACCCCCATGTAGAATCTCTTGTTTAAATTGGTCGAAACAGAGTTTTTTTAATTAATTTTTATAACAGACAGAGACATATGTAAGTGGGAAACAACCTTCGAAAACAGCAATGCAGGAGAATAAGTCTTAACCAACAAACACATAAGCATCAATGGTTTAAATTAAAACAAACACTAGATTAATCCATATATCCCCCGACCATAAACTAAAACCGGCGAAACTAAAATTATAAAATTTATATACTACAAGAAAGTCGCAGACTCACGTTTGCATATTAAACAAATGTATAAAGATTTTAAACTCAACGTGCGTTCCATTAAAATCCTCAAGATTGTATAAAAATTTGATCTTTAACTCTTAAAACATACAAACATTTCAAACTTCAGAAGAACAAAATAAACTTTCGTTTTTGTATTTGTAATGGCAACACCACCGTTAACGCCGAGAATGATGACTCCGACGACATTATCGCCTCTCGGTAGTCCAAAATCGTCGAAGAAATCAACAGCGACGGTTCGACCGGAGATTACATTGGAGCAACCATCAAGTAAGAACAAATCAGCCAGTTCAAAATCAACGAAGCTATTCCGTCGTGTACGTTCTGTATTCCGATCACTTCCGATCATGTCTCCGATGTGTAAATTCCCCGTAGGAGGAACAAGGCTCCACGAGAATCACGTCCACGGAGGTACACGTGTAACCGGAACGCTATTCGGTTACCGTAAAACGCGTGTGAATTTAGCGGTCCAAGAGAATCCGCGTTCATTACCGATTCTGTTGTTGGAGTTAGCGATTCCGACAGGGAAACTACTTCAAGATCTTGGTGTTGGTCTTGTCCGAATCGCGCTTGAGTGCGAGAAGAAACCGAGCGAGAAAACCAAGATCATTGATGAACCAATTTGGGCATTGTATTGTAACGGTAAGAAATCTGGTTACGGGGTTAAAAGACAACCAACGGAAGAAGATTTATTGGTTATGCAGATGCTTCACGCTGTGTCGATGGGAGCTGGTGTTTTACCGGTGAGTAGT